TTTCCATTGAATGAATAATTATGTTGATTCAAGAAAGTTCAGTGGGAGTCCACTGAATTCTTGTCAAACCAATCTAGAGAATCCAGTAGATTCTGGATGAACCAATCTAGAGAATCCAGCAGATTTTAGTTCAATCAGTCTAGGCAGTCCAGTAGATTATAGTTCAATCAATCTAGGGAGTCCAGGAGATTATAGTTCAATCAATCTAGGGAGTCCAGGAGATTATAGTTCAATCAATCTAGGGGGTCTAGTAAATTCTGGTTCAGCCAGTCTAGGGAGTGCAGCAGATTCTGTATAAACCAGTCTAGAGAGTCCAGTAGATTCAAGTTCAACCATTTCATGGAGTCTAGTAGATTCTGGTTCAACCAGTAGATTCTGGTTCAACCAGTATAGAAATTTGATTAGATTATAGTTCAAACAGTCTAGAGATAAAGTTGTTAAGATTTCTATGAGGAAACATAATTTATTTAATTGTTTCCCAATTCTGATAAAAAAAGTTAGTTCGAGAATGCTAATAAGCAAACTCTGACACAACATCAGTAACGTAATGATTGTGTGAGAAGGATTATACCACTAAAAAATAGGGGGTTTAATTAGTATTTCCATGACACAGTCCTCACAACCCAGGAACATACAGATTCTGAAAACTGAGATGGACCATACCACGAAAAGATAGGGGTGGCAGGTTATAGATATTGAGCTCATGGTAAACTCCCTGTTTCATGCATTAACCTGTTAACAGTATATGTAGTTGTCAAACTCACTCATTTCACTGGTTGATTTGATTTGAATCAGTGAATTTTTAAAAGCGCTTAGAGGCTTTAAAGGGATTGCGTGTACCGGTAGTACCCATCTGGCAGAGTGCAGGTTGCACACGACAGGTGATCCACTGCCTTAATTTGCTAACTTAGAAATAATGCGTAAATCATATAAATTAATTGTCCAAAAAGCTCAAAATTGTCAATGACATCATAACTGAAGTAGTCTGTTGTTAATCCACTGTTGGGTAGTTTCCAGCTGTTGCTGTCGCCTTTATTATAAACCCACAAATGAAAAGCAATAGTGAAAGAAAGCAAATACAAGGAGTTCTTACTTGTACTTGCTGGAGCTTGCGGGAAGAGGATTAATGATAGCATTGTGACAAGAAGACTCGATTGAAGGATGTAACTGGCATAAACACATGGTAGTTCGACTTAACTACTGTGTTACTGGAATAGCGGCCGTGTAATCTCACTTTGATTTCAAAGACCCAGAAATGTTTTTAAGGTTAACCCAGAAGTAAAAAAAAAATCTGATCAAATAGTTTTCCATAATATGATGTACATGTGTTAAACTGATGCATATGATGATCGAAAACATGTACATGTATATATTCATTTTCATAAGCCTTACAAAAAAATTTAACAAGAGAAAAGTGCCATACCTCCTGCAAAGAGCTATACCATTGATACATGTATTTGATGCAGAATAGGGGATTGCAATCATAAAATTGTGAATTCACAGAGCATTTGTTTAACAGTATTCTGTAAACAAGTTATACATGTACATCATATAAAACCGGAAATAATACAGGTTTTATGTATAAACACTGTCAGCACTTACTGGGATTAGTATTTGACCAGCTATGGACAAGGGCAATCAGGTGTTGATGTCCAGAAGGACGGTTGATGAATGATTGCATGACAAAATCATACTATATTGGAAATTATATTTTAGTATAAATATTTGTGCTGTGTACATTTCAGACAAGGGGGTTCATGCTGAATTCTATTTTTAAAATAGAAACCAATACAGTGACAATAAGTATTATACCTCATTCCGCATCAACATCCACAGTGTGGACATAAATCAAATGATTTTACATGATACTCATTATATAAGTATTACATGTACAGGCAAATCTGTGTTAGTGTCCACCTCTATATAAAGACCACATGTCTATAGTAACCACTTTTAAGTAGTCCCAAGGCATAATGTACAGTGCATGAGCAACCTGCAAATAAAGACCACTCGTCTTATGTGACCACCCCCTTCAAATATTGTTTCAGATTTGTCATTGTTTAGAGACCAAAATAATAATAAGTCTTCGATTTATAAAACTAATTTTAATTTCCAACTAATTTAATTTTGATGAACTCAAATAAATGTGTTGCAACAATACATGTACCATCTCATTATTTTCTGGACAAATATTATGTCAATTGTATAATTTGGTGATCCATCAAAATATAATCGACCATATAACCTCTATATAAAGACCACCTTTCTAAGAAGACCTTTTTAATGAAGTCCCTTGGGTGGTCACTATGCACAGGTTTGATTATATGTGCCTAGAGCATTTATTTAACTCAGTTAACTGAAGAAAAGTTTTACAAGAAGTAGAGTTTGTAAATTCTAATGATAACTCAAATAAATATCATTAATAGAGAATTTCATCAAGCATAATCATTTTCAACAGACTGAATTGGTCAAAACCTGATCACAGGCTTAACAGTGAAACACAAAACATATTCTGGAAGAGGTCACATGACTATTAATTTAAGTATAACGTTTTTGAAATTATTTTTCCAAAAAATTGCATATTTTGATTGCAAATTGCTTGACTATTATTGAGAGAGTCTTACTACACAAAGCACTAATAATCAGTAGTACATGTAACAGCACCAGATTTGGTAGAAGTTGAGATTCACGCTCAGCATCTTATTTTAAATACATTTTGTACTGTGAAAGCAATTATATTAACTGTAATTTAATTTCACTATTTTGATAATCAAGCAGAACTAAACTGTTCCCATCTGGGTGAGAGAAGATCAACATCCTGATTCTGATTTAAATTCCTAGATTTTTCGATTAAACAATGAGATAAATTGTAATATTCCATGTTCACATGGATTAAAATTAGCAGATTATATGTACATGTATTAGTGGAAATAAAAACCCAGAAAATATTTTAATGTGTTTACAAATAGCTAACATGTAACTTTTAATTTAGCTACCCTGCATTCAAGATGTGCTGAATTCAGTAAAAATGTCTATTCTCACAATGAGATTACTGGCACCTTTATTATATTAAAGTGCTACTAATTGAACTTGGATGCAAATGGCTTCTTAGATCTCTGTAACAGCAACATAGCAAAAATAGATTTTCATTCCCTCCTTGTTAATCACATTCACTTTTTCTCTGATCTAAGTAACAAGGGATTTGGGAACAGTGAAAGCACCTCAAGCCAAATAGCTGAAACAAAATGCAGTTATTTCCATGGTGATCATCAGGATTTCTAGCCATGGTGATTCTTCTTTCAGCACTGTTGTCACTTTCAAGTGTAGTATGGATTGTTATGGATTCAGGGAATCTATAATATTTAAAGTGCATTCTGTCTCAGGTAGTTTATGATGCATTATGGGTAACCTACTAAACAGCTAAATGTTTCCTACTCTTTATCCTATACTTGTGAATTAACTGCTTCTGAAACAAAGGAATCTATTTGTCCCTTGAGTCCGGGTAAAACATGTATCCCTTTCAGTCTGAAGTCAAACAGTATTCATGTATGAATGCCACAAATATTGGGAAAGGAATTTTCTCTAAAGTTTGGCGTTTTAAAATTAATTCACTAAAGACTAATTGTGCTATTGTATGTAACACTTCATGATATTATTAAATTCAATTGTTATAGTAGTTGCCATAGTAGTTTCTGAACCTTGCAAGGAAATTTCAATAGCAATCCAAGTGAGTTTATTAATTATGTCCGTGTCAAAGTCATGGAGAGAGGGGTACCCACCATTTTGGGAACTTTCATGTTTGAAAACTACTATTGCATCTTGCCACGAATGGTAAATAAAGTTCACCAAAAAGTTGTTACATTTAAAAGGTAGCACGCTTGATATGTATAATTATTATATCACACAAACATTTATAATAATTTCATTTTTCACATTGTGTTATGTACTGCAGATTAAAAACATGACATCCCACTTCTGAACAAAAACACCAACAGTGATTTGGGCTTTTTAAGAAAAGATTGCAGCATGAAGAAATAGGTGATTTTCCGAACAATTGCGAGATCTCGCGAGATGCATGAAAGACGCGCGTCGAACGTCTGCCGCAAAAATCGAACGATTTGATTTTGAACTAGAATTTCTTTATTTCGCAGCTTACATTGACCGGCCGATCTTCGACAGAGGAATATTGCTTCCGAATACCCTCACTTAATCGAAATTGTCTATCATCAAATGTGGACAGCACATTATTAAGCATGGAAATGCCCCCAAAATACTTTTGCGTTTGTCGAATCCCACGCGATGTTTGACGCGACTACGACGCTATGACCTTTGTTTGTCCTGTTGTTACGTTCGATCTCACGCATAACGTGTGATTCTCGCAGTGTACGGAAAATGGTCTATTAGAACGATTAAAACATTTCATTTATCATTATGCAGTTCTAGTATACGTTCTGCTGTTAGTGGCTGAAAAGCTGAAGGCTTTCATGAAAAAAAAAATACTTCCTGTTGTATAAGATTAATAGCAAGTTTCTCTTAAACTCATTAGATTGATCGTAATAGATTAGGTTTCAGTAATCTAAACAAATAAACAGACAGTACAACCGGATACTAGTAGGACACTGCAGTACAGAAAAAAGTATTTGCCAACACAACGTTTACGAGCATAATACTTGCCAATGCAGAGTTTCACTGAATGTGACTTAATTTAACATCCGTTTTAGATCTAAGATATAGCAAATACAGCCGCAAAGTGGAATATATGCGTATGGGTTATGTACTTTAGAGAGCTCGGTGCGCGATCTGCGCTGGGGAATAGTTGTTTCGGGAAACATGCGATGGTATGATTGATGACCAGTTTTACGCTAACTTTTGTTGACATACTGCATGAATCCGCTTCCGCATTTTTCCATGGAAAGGCTGTAGTTTGGCTGCGATGTACATAAATACAAATATATAAGCAATATTATTGGATGACAATTATAGTGAAAGCAGGTACTCACACTTCTAGGATGCGATCTCCTTTGAACAGACCTGCCTTCTCTGCAGCGCCGCCCTCTAAAACAGCACTGACGTGCTGCAGAGGTGCATACAGCTCGCCATTTATACTTTTTAGTTGACCTCCTTCACTCACTTGTCCCCTCACATTGAATCCGAACCCTGTCTCGGATTTGACGATGTGGACTATACGGGGCTGAGATGTCACAGGCGAAGTCGGTGCAGAGGAGTACTGTTCATGTCTCGGGCTGTCGTCTTCGTCGTCCGCCATTTTGTTTAAAATGACTAAGATCACGTGACGTGCGATTAGAGGGCGTGACCTCATTTAGTGCAAACTACTCTCGTCAACAGGTACAGTTGTATGCACAGAGTTAGAAAACAGAAAATGAGGGCGTATATGAAACGCAATATACATATAGACATTTCAAAAATATGCTTGATATCCCGTCGCATACTACATTGAAAAACAGTGTAGCAGGTTACAAGTATTCAAAACAACTAGCCACCTTTCTCATTTATATAGTTAAAGGGCGGTGGGAAAAGAACATGCCATCGCCCTTTAATTATGTAAATGAGAGAAAAGTGCTAGTTGTTTTAAATACATGTAACCTGCTACGCTGTATTTTAAATAGAGTTGTTATTTGTGAACACTTTGCATAATTTGCATGGCTGTGCATGAATAATCAACAAACTTATATGTTTGAAAAATGACAACAGAATATCCATCATTTACAGTTATACATAACAATAATCAGCTTATTTATGTATTTATGTATTTTGTTCGCATTCATGGTATTCACATGTCGGCGTTTATTAAAACGATGGTAGCGTAATTCCCGTCTCTCCTCTGATATTAAACTTCACGGACCCACCGAGTTTTGCAAAGATATCAATTATCGAAATCGTTTTCAAGAGACTTACGTTGATACAGTGACGTAAACTTTAATGACAATAAGTAAAAAGCAAGAGATTATTTGTGAATCGGTGAGACAGATATAACAATACATATATAACCGCACGCTAAACCCGAGAAGAGTGATGATGATTTTGTTTTTATTCAAGAAAGGGGGCGTCCTATAACTTCGTAGCTTTATTATGATACGATATAATTTTCAACACACAAACAATATGATTCATACGCTGGGGTCACATGGGTATCCACAAATGTAAGTCGATTTATTTGTTATCATTTCATTCCAAGTTACTTTTTGTTGTTATTGTTATTTGTAGTAGACAGTGGACTATGTCTAAGTGTATTTCTAGGCTTATTCAGATTTGAAGTGAATAACCCAGGACTTCATTGAATGTCGAAATGACGGATTTGTATTTGTATTCAAGCTTATCCAAACCAGTCACTCTACAGCAATCGTTAAAATCAACAAACATATGCAAAACACTGTCGCGTGAGGGCGGTGTCACCCGGTCAAATCTCGTCTCCGTCTTCAGAAGTAAATAAATACTAGTTCAGAAAATACACAACGATCTTAAGAGAGTGAGTTAATAGCTGAATGCACCACGCTCATTGTAGCGAATTTGATTCCAAACGAATCAGATATGATATATTGTGTATCTGTGCCCCGTGGTGGTGTTGTCTTACTGCTTTCTTTGATTGTATTCATTTAAACAGTATTCATGGTATTGTGTGTCGCATAGCATGGAGAAACAGTGTTATGAAAAGTCGTATATTTGGACGTAATATTTATAAAACTGAACCAGATGTCCAGCAGTCAGACACGACACACGTACTTATTAATATAATTAGTTGTTTATTTGAACTGCGTGAACATAACATAGAAGAGCCCTGAATCAAGTACATCGAGTGATTATATCATACCCCCGTGAGGATTATCAATTTGAGCGGGAAACTTTAATACAAATATACAATACTGTGATTGGTCAATCAAAATATATGGTCTTGCCCCTCACGTTCACACTTAGCATGGCGTTTAATCTCTTATCCTGTTTTGTTACATTCCAGCTCAGACGATATAAACGATGTATATAGTAGCAGCATAATAAAACGATACAATATTAGTAATTACATGGTTCTATTAAAATATGTTTGGGTATTTAGAGTAGTATCAAACTCTCACTTCTGGTCCGATTAGACTTAAATATATATCCCGAATTTTATGTTGTTGGTTCTTGGATATTTCAGCTTCGTCGTCCTGTACTTCTTTTAGCAATTCGTACTTCCCAGATTGCGTAAAAACCTTTGGCGATTTTAAAACATCATTTGCTGAGGAACGGCCGCTTACACTGGGCAAAATCGTTGATATACGATTGTATACGCAGATATACATTTTGTGTGTAATCACGGTATACGTTTAGTATACGCAGATATGATTACGTATACAAATCGTGGAATATACGTACATATGCGCTACGTATTTTTATGGTTTCTTTCACACATGCCCGTCTTGGGTGGCACGCAGCGTATACGTACGTATTTTACATGCATTCTCGTAGTACAATCAACGTTGTTTTACGAAGTCTGTATATTTACGCATACGTGGAGAATACTGTAAGCGTGGAATTGTCCGGTTTTATTTGGGATCGCGGCCTCCAGTACTTATAATAAATAATTTCCGGAACTGTCGACTCGCATGGCGTCTTGAATCGATCTAAAAACGTCTCCTGTTTTGCCGAGTACATGTAATTGAGAAATGGCTATGTACATAGCATTTCCTGACTGAAGTGTACCATCGCTTTGATATTAACGTGACGTCTTCATTTGTCTCACTATACACTGGTGAATTCGAACACAAGACAGGAAATTGCACAATAGAGTATACGTTGATTAATTGCAATATCATTCGCAAGCCTGAATGAATGCGAACA